TTAGAATATTGGAGTTTAGAGTGTAAATCATTTCGTACTCTCTTTTGGGCAGGTGAAAAATCAACGAATGCTAAAATTATCCACATTGCTTTAGGCCTTAATCTTTTGTTTGTGACAGAAGATGGTAGAGTTTATCAAGGTCATTTTCAAATTGATAGGAAAAAAGATAGTTCAATGGCTCCTGTCAAAGTTAAAGCTAATTCTTTGTTAAGTGAAATTGCTGAGAAGTATAAAGAGAAGAAGAGACATTTTGTTCATATGCAAACGGAAAGAATTCCATTGTTGTTTAATGCATTAAAATGTTTTTGTGATTCTCGAAGTAAATCATTTGCTGCAGTTCAAAATGATCCGCAAGTCGGGTGCGTCTATTATTTTAATATTATTTTTAAAATTTTACCATTTTTTAATATTTATTTATAAAATTTTAAAATTTAACAATTATTTTTAAAATTTTAGTATATAACTTTTGTCCTTGTATATAAGTTAGACATTAGCAACTGTAATTATGAAAAATTCTTATTTAATGCAGGGAAATTTGTTGTTTTTTTGTTTTTTTTTTCACTTTTAGTTTTTTGAGTTTGCTTTTTTTTTTTGGTTAAATTTTTGGAAAATATAAAACATCCATTTAAAAAAAAATACGAATTGATAAAAATTTATAAAAAATGGCAATTTATAAAAAAAAATTTTGTTTGTTTCGAATCAAGATAATTTTAAATCTAATATCAAATTTTTTTAATACCTCTGCTGAAAATGCTACTCCTCAAAACTGTATTAACTCTTCTACCTGATTTCCTCTTATCAGAATTTTTTTTATAAAATTAATTTTCTTTTTACCAACTACGTATTTAAAATACTTATTACTTTTACCAACTACGTATTTAAAATACTTATTACTTTTACCAACTACGTATTTAAAATACTTATTACTTTTACCAACTACGTATTTAATATACTTATTACTTTTAACAACTACGTATTTAAAATACTTATTACTTTTACCAACTACGTATTTAAAATACTTATTACTTTTACCAACTACGTATTTAAAATACTTATTACTTTTACCAACTACGTATTTAAAATACTTATTACTTTTACCAACTACGTATTTAAAATATTTATTACTTTTACCAACTACGTATTTAAAATACTTATTACTTTTACCAACTACGTATTTAAAATACTTATTACTTTTACCAACTACGTATTTAAAATACTTATTACTTTTACCAACTAAGTATTTAAAATACTTATTACTTTTACCAACTACGTATTTAAAATACTTATTACTTTTACCAACTACGTATTTAAAATACTTATTACTTTTACCAACTACGTATTTAAAATACTTATTACTTTTACCAACTACGTATTTAAAATACTTATTACTTTTACCAACTACGTATTTAAAATATTTATTACTTTTACCAACTACGTATTTAAAATACTTATTACTTTTACCAACTATGTATTTAAAATACTTATTACTTTTACCAACTACGTATTTAAAATACTTATTACTTTTACCAACTACGTATTTAAAATATTTATTACTTTTACCAACTACGTATTTAAAATACTTATTACTTTTACCAACTACGTATTTAAAATACTTATTACTTTTACCAACTACGTATTTAAAATACTTATTACTTTTACCAACTACGTATTTAAAATACTTATTACTTTTACCAACTACGTATTTAAAATACTTATTACTTTTACCAACTACGTATTTAAAATATTTATTACTTTTACCAACTACGTATTTAAAATACTTATTACTTTTACCAACTATGTATTTAAAATACTTATTACTTTTACCAACTACGTATTTAAAATACTTATTACTTTTACCAACTACGTATTTAAAATATTTATTACTTTTACCAACTACGTATTTAAAATACTTATTACTTTTACCAACTACGTATTTAAAATACTATTTAAAGGCTATGGGCGTTAGCAAGCTTGGAGTTTAGTTAAAGGTTGGTAGTATTTCAACCCTCTTTCCAAAAAAAATTATGTTTATCGGATCATAGTTAGAATTGTGGGGCTGCTTTAATGATTTTTGATGCATCAAATTAAATTTGAACAGTTTGTTTGATGTTAATATGCTCACTGATCTTTAGCAGCAATGCATTATCCCAGTTCTAAATTTAAAGCTTATAAAGTTTATGGAATATTTCAATATATATATATAATGCAAAGTAATATTAATTAATGGTTTAAAAATAAAAGCATTTATAATTAAAACATTACAGTGGGACAGGTTGGCCTAATGCTATTTCTTTTTGTTAAATTACTTGTTTTTATTTCCAATAATAATATTTTGTATTTTAAAATGTTTTAAAAATAAAAAAATGCACTTATGGTAAATTATTAGAACTAGCTGACCCGACCTGTAAAAATACGGGTCTTTGTAAGTCTGTTCCACACCAACCTTTTCTATTTTTTTTCTTTACATATATATATATATATATATATATCCTAGCTTTCCAGACCAGTAAAATATGGATCTTTACCAAACTGATCACTTCTATACCTATCCTTTATTTACTTCAATATTTTTTAGTAAAATAATTCATTCAGAAAAATGGCTTTAAGAGCAAAAAAAATTAACATGCACACCTTTTCCGCATATGTAGCTTATAAGAGATTTTAAACTCAACATATGCTATAAAGACATTAAATTTAAATGGCGGAACTAAAAAGATGACATAATTTTAGCAAGCAGAAATTGTCAAGAGAGTGGCCAATCTAAATTCAAAGTTTCAATCTTTCCACCTGGATGAGACAACATATTTTGCATTTTTTTAATCTTGTCAGTTTTTTAAATACAATAACATAAATAAAATAAAAAATAAAAAAACGAAACAGTTTAAGCAAAAAAAAACTTGTAATTATTAGAAAAAGTATTTTTATATTAAACACAATCCTGCATAAAACATTATATAAGTGGATTTTTTTTACATTTGCATATAACATATTTGTTTATTGTTATATTAGATTCTATGCCATAAAGTTTTCTAAATAGTATGTGCTTATTGAGAGAACCTGCTTGAAAAGTGTTGATTTAATACAATGGGTATAAGAGATTATAAAAAGGTTTGTTTTTCAATTATATGTATAAATTTGATAGATCAGTGATGTCATAGGTGCTGTGTTTGCGAGGGTTCAAATCCACTCTTTAACATAATATATTTTCAATTTTTTCAATCTGGCTGTATATATTTATTGCAAAAGAAAAATAGATATAGCAAAAAAATCTCAAAAGCATTTAATTTATATTTTAGAAAAATCAATATTAAAAAAAAAAATCCACCAGTAGCAAGGTTTGAATTATAGTGCTTTGCTTCAGAAACTCAGGAATTTACTTCAGGACTCAGTTATTAGGAATTCTCTCAACACTTATTTCTGGCAAATCAAATAGACTTTGTTCATTAGCGTTAATACTAATGAATTTAATACTTATGTGAATCTTTATCTTAACTTTATGTGAATCTTTCTCTTAACTTTATGTGAATCTTTATCTTAACTTTATGTGAATCTTTATCTTAACTTTATGTGAATCTTTATCTTAACTTTATGTGAATCTTTATCTTAACTTTATGTGAATCTTTCTCTTAACTTTATGTGAATCTTTCTCTTAACTTTATGTGAATCTTTCTCTTAACTTTATGTGAATCTTTATCTTAACTTTATGTGAATCTTTATCTTAACTTTATGTGAATCTTTATCTTAACTTTATGTGAATCTTTATCTTAACTTTATGTGAATCTTTCTCTTAACTTTATGTGAATCTTTCTCTTAACTTTATGTGAATCTTTCTCTTAACTTTATGTGAATCTTTCTCTTAACTTTATGTAAATCTTTCTCTTAACTTTATGTGAATCTTTATCTTAACTTTATGTGAATCTTTCTCTTAACTTTATGTGAATCTTTCTCTTAACTTTATGTGAATCTTTCTCTTAACTTTATGTGAATCTTTATCTTAACTTTATGTGAATCTTTCTCTTAACTTTATGTGAATCTTTATCTTAACTTTATATGAATCTTTATCTTAACTTTATGTGAATCTTTCTCTTAACTTTATGTGATTAACTTTATTCTTTAGTACCTCATTCTTGTTCTTGTTCCATTTTATGTCAATATGTGAAAGACTTTTTTTTTTAATAATCCATTTTCTATTTACTCAACTAATTGGTAGGAAAGGTTTATGCGACATTTATCTTGAAGATAAAAAATTCTATCTCTAATACACCTAAGGCCCAACCATAAAACAATCTTGCAAGTCAAAAATTGTTCCATGACTTTGTTTCTATATGATTGCAAGACTGTCCTACGACTAATATGCAACTATTTTGTATATATGGAAGCCAACCTTTAATAAACTCAATTAAACTATTTTATCCATAAAACAATTTCATCCATAAAACATGTTCTATTACTTTTAATTAGTTTTACAGCTAATTTAATTAGTTTTAATGTGTTTTAATGTAATGTGTATAAATATTTATTTCTCTTTTATTTTACCAATATAAATAACAATATAATATAAATATAAATAACAAAAAAAAAGTTAAAGTAAAGTAAAATAGTTATAAGATCCATTAACAATATATATGTGGTTTTTAAATTTTATTTAAGAAATTCTTTTCATTTGGTTAGTTAATTTCTTTATCTGTTAGGGTATATAAAATATTAAGATAACTCAAGATTATGCATGATTTTATTGTTTTTTGGGAATTTAAATATAGCTTGGTTGGCTTTCCATCTATCATTGATTCTATGTTGAGTAATGATTTAGAGAAACTGATTTCACAATCATTTAATGAAGATCAGCTGCATGATATGTTTATAAAGGTTTTTTGAATCTTATTTTTTATCTTGATAATTATTTTATTTATGAAATTTTTTTTTTAATTATTACAAAGTCTTTTAATGATGGTTTATTGATTTCTGAGGCTATTAGAAACCAACAAAAGAAAAAACGTAGT